TTATTACAAGTTTAATTTAATAATCTATTATTACATTATTCAAGTGTTCAACCGCACTTGTATTCTATATAAAGTATCTGTCTATCCGTGAAAATTTCAATTGACAATTAATTAGCCTTCTTTGTGCAAAAAGGTGATAAAAACAACGTGTGGTACTTTTCGTTCCAGCGTTTAATTAGTCCGATGGAGAGACGATAAGATATCGATTCCCTGTCACGATTAAAACCGGTTTATCAAGCTATCAAGTTGCAGTTTTTCCGTCGTCCTGACGTCTATTCTGGGCGTACCAACTGCGATACGCAACCAACGGTTTCTGTTCGACAATGAATGGATGGACACAATCGATAAATCTTTAACTGTATCATGCATTTCGATCATCCACGTCGCACATGTTATCGGAAAAATTCACTGTGAGACCAGAAACGAAGTGGCGAAATCAAATTAGGTTTCCTATTTGTTTATTCGTTTCAGAAACTCAAATAGAATTTGCCGGTATCGCTCGAATCAGATAACGGATGCAAATCGATAATTGGTTTTTCATCACTTTATTGTTACTGTCATGGTGTATCAGGTCATTGCACCTGACGCGATTTCTTCTGATGCAAGGTTCATGACTACGACGCCGTTTGTCACCGCGCTCTATTCGTAGAAGAGCATCTTTGGCGTGCGGCCGAGTTTTCCTTAGTTTCCTTCAATTTTCGGAACGGATCGTTGAAATTTTCGGGGCACGCGTGATTCAGAGTCGCGTGTGTCCCACTGCCAAATAATTTCTCGGTAGACTCATAGGTATTTATTAACCGTCAGCTGCTTGTCCCCGTTCTTATGGACAAAGTCGTTTCTTTGTAAGACACGTAATCCCGGTCGAGTGTTCCAGAATTGTCGCACTTAATCCCGAAGACAGACATTCGACGGCAAATGAAGAATAACGATGTGGTTTCAATCTAACCACGGTGGTTGAATTACGTGCGATTGAAAACTGATATTTTAGCAAAGCATTAAAATAATATTATTGGATTTTTTCCAAGAAAAATATTATTATTTATTGAAATATATTTAATCGGAACTCGTGACTATAATATTTCATCGTCAAGTTATAGTCTATATAGTATGAAACGACTAAATCAATATTTTTCGTGAAACAGAAAAATAAAATATAAAGATTAGTAGTGCCTTTTTATTTATATTTGTCTTATGATTTCGCACTCTTCTTTTTAATTTAATAATAATATCAATAAAATTATTAATTAAATTTATCAATTTAATTTAACAAAAATTACAAGAATTAAAATATTTATTATTCAAGCTCAATATTAGATAAATGATGAATCGTAAGTCCGAAACGAAAAAGTGACAAGAAATGATGACAAGAATGAAAGATGCAGGTATGAAGGTCTGCATGCATTGTTATGCATTACACATATTTCAATATTATTATATCGATCGAAATGCTCAATGTGGTTTGACTCGTAAATCGTATTAAAGGATTGAAACGTGTTTGTCGCACGTGGTAAAATCGATAAACGCCATTGCATGCGCATTACAGGCGAGAATCGGCGGCAGCGACAGACACGCTCACTCAATTAATGAATGCAGCGCGTTACGGGCGGCGATTCGTAAATGCGATCTCAAAGTGAGACTTGCGTTTTACGACCGCGGTTGGCCTTTCATGGATTGTATCCACATTCGGACGAGTAGCATTTTATGTACAAGAGATCGTCAGCGGTTTATAAAGACAATTTTTCTTCGTTATGTGAACCACATTCGATAAACACATCTATGATTACAATGTTGGTACTTTTCCAGAAAATTTAAATAGCCGGGATAGAACTCATCTTCCTCAAGCTTTTTCCTGGGAAAGAACCTGCTATTGGAAACAAATATTTTTCAGTGATTTTAACTTCTTTTGTTTTAAACTTCTTTCAAAAGTTTTTATTTTTTATTTTGAATTTATTCGTATAAGGTTGATACAATAGTAGATATCTCTGAAAAACTTATTTTAAAATCCATTTTATAAATCTTATTTTAGAAAAACTCGAAACTATAACTTTAAAGTATACTGTTTCTATTTTTATTAATAGCTAAAAGAGTGCAACACATTTCTTTAAATGTAAAACATTTATTTTATATTTAATTATATTTTTCTGTATTTCTTGATATAAAATTTTCTTTGATAAATATTATTAGGACTTTCTGAGTACATATCTTTGAAATAACGAATTACTTTAACATAATAATAAACAAAATAATAAATTACTTTGAACAGCACTAAATTTCAGTAAATCAAAATAGAGTCTATTTGTTAGAGTTTTATTTGTTATTCGCTAATTAGTTGTTATTTGTCCATCCATCATGTGCTTGTTTAAGCTTGTTTAAGAATGTTTTGACTGGACAATATTTTTGATACACCTCCAGGGGACATCCTATAAAGCCGTCCAGAGAACGTTTCCAAGATGTTTCTCGAAGAAAGTATGCTGTATGGGATAGTTGCTTTGTGCTATTACTGTAGGAAGTAGAATAATAAAATAAACGAAGAATCGAAAACAGAATTACTACAGTACTTGAAAATGAACGTGTTTCAAGAAAGAAGTGCGGCTTGGCTGCCTATTTATTTATAGATATTTGACGTTTTCCACTTGTTTATGTTTATTATTTCTTCAGTTGATTTTCAATTAACATTGTTTACAGAAATATGTTTTTAATCTACTTATATATATGAAAACAAGAGAAACAAGGAATTCATAATCAATATTTTCAATAAATTTCAGTTTTTCTTAAAATAAATACATTTTTTTAGAGATCATACTGTCAATACATAAATAAGTAGTATAAATTTAAAGGAATAAAAGTGTTTTTTTTTTTATTATAGACTCTTTCGGGGAAAAAAGGTTTTTTTCCTTCCCGTTCTTTTCTAAGTTTTTTTCCTAGTATCTTTTCTTCTTCATAATACGATGACGACACAAGCGTGTTGAACGAACGTTATACGATCACCGGATGAGATCGATTCTAGGAACGATCATTCTGTTCCTGTTTACTAGAACCAAATCTTTCGCTACGATTGAAGTCAACAATGTAGTATGATTGATTACGCGACCCGCGGCCAAGGAAAATCTGTCCTCACGTCGAATTCCTTCTTGACATTTCGCAATCCATACACGACTCCTAAACTTAGAGCAAAATGTAACATCTAAACAACAACAATACTATTTGTTATTCGCTGATTAGTTAGTTGTTTATCACTAACTTGTTATTTGTCCATCCATCATGCGCTTGTTTAAACTTGTTTAAGAATGTTTTGACTAGACAATATTTTTGATAGTACTTAGAGTAGTGATGCTAAACGCGAGTGGAAACGTACCTACATGCCAAAACGAAATTGGTGGTTTCCTTTCCGTGAAATTGCCGCGATAATGAAACAATCATACCAAACAATATGGGAGGAGAGGAATCGTAATTACGTTTTGGCTCCATTTCGTCTTTGCATTCAGAATGCGGTCCACGTGGTCGCACGAGGCCACGTGCAGAACGGAATATTTCTCATTATTGGATTGTAATCTGCTCTATGCGTCGTACAAAATTATGATGCATGCAACGTGTAGGACGAAGAGAAACGACGTGACACACGTGACACACGTGGCTATCACATGTAAATTGATGTAAATTCTTGATACAGACGCCCTGTGGGATCGAGACATATCTAATTACGACTTGGCTTTCATCGGTCTTTTCGACTTCCACTCTTACATTTTAATATTTATCTCTTGTCACTTTTTACTTGCAAAATTGTCGCGAATTAAGTTTATTCTTAGATAATAATGATGATTGTTAATTCTGTTACATATTATCAATTAATTTTTGAAATTGTCAAAAATTTTAATACGTTTTTATCGTAATTATGTAAAAATCGTTAATATTATTGTTTAATGCATTGTGCACTGTAATGTTAAGTTGTTATTTGACAAAGTTTTGCGATGAGAATGCATTTTATGGTGAATCTCGAATCGTAAAACTCGTAGTCATCGACATACTCTGGTCATCGCCCTTTTCGCGGCGCCAAACGTCGCGACGCAAACTCTCTATCGAGCTTAAATGCTTAACCTTTCTAAAAATCGATAGAAAACCTCGCCAATGAAGCGGTAAGAGTTTCCATTCGGATGAAAATTGCGCGAAAGTTCTGCGTGTATTATCGTATTATTTTTAGAAACGGTCAGGATCAGGTCTTTTTAGGTTTCCATATCTCTAGCTAGGTGATCTTATATACATATATTATATCACCAACTCCTATCTTTATTTTTACGAATATTAAATATATATATATATGCTAATATTAATCAAGTAATTCTCGAAATTTGTAAAATTCATGGAAGCCTCTAAAAATTAAAGAATATTAAAGTGATTAACTATGATTATTTTCTTACCAGTAAATGAAAAAAAATTTTGTGTAAAAATGTATATACGGATTAGATATATGGATATATTTCATATATACAGATTTGTATAATTGTATATAATCATTTATTTATAATTATATAGGAAAATTTTTTATTAGAAAAAAGTTAGTAAATCATTTGATGTGTATTTAAACAGGTAATATAAATAATGCAATATCTACTATTTCGACAATGTAAAAAAATTTTTTTATTAACAATGGATAATGTTGGGATTTGATAAGCTCGAGAAATCGAATTTAAGAACCTACTATATTAAAGATCACCGAAAATTACATAGAAATATGTATTTTTATGGAACTGCTAAAATTTAAACAAATTTTAGCAGGTTTCGTACAAATATATATACATTTATGATTTAAATTATTCAATTTTGTTATATATATATATTTATGAAACTGCATTTATACTGTTATCATATGAGTTTGATTATCCACGCGAGTATTAAAATTATCGATTGTCGATATACAATTGAAGATCATAATAGTTCTCTTTTTCTTTGCTATCTTGTTTCAGTACGTGTTCCAACCTTTTCATTCTTTTCAACGTGTTTACACTGTAATCAATATGACAATGTGCAATACGCACATGTCGTGTGAACCGGTATAAGTTCTGTGACTCTAAATTCGAGTCGGAAAACCAATCAAGGGAAAACCAAAAGAAGAACCGGTATAAGTTATAAGCGTGAACGAAAGAGGCGTGAACATTTGAACAATATCACAATAAGTATACCAGGTGTGGTTTGTAGACTACTAAAAACGTTTTATGAGTATTTGAAGGAATAGACTTGATTAAATCAAGTGTATTCCTTCGAATACTTTACAATATTATAATTTTATTAAATATAATTACATTTTTTTCTTTCAATACTTTGCAGTGCTTAGCGAAGAAGATCCAGCGTTGCAATTTCTCACTTTGAAAAACCATGAGAAAACGCGAATTAAACACAAAGCTATTTAAACGTGCTGAAAATAATTTGCTATCTAAATTGAATAATGCGTTTTTAAAGAATTATCCACATCATGTAATGCCGGGTTACAACTTGAATAGATCACCATGTATTGAGACATGGGATGAAGGGAATGCTCAGGGGCTTTACCAAGAATTTCCATATAATTGTGATTTGCCAAAACCATTATTGCCACCGGCAAAATTGTCAAGAACAGGTAACAACAATACTGATATGATTTGAAATCTTTGTGAGTTTTATTAAAATATAATTTTTTTTAAATTTATTATTTAATTTGAGAGTATAGTTTGAGTGTACTTGAAGTATTTAATATCAATAGGATTTTTTCAATTTCTTATAGTTCTTAGACATAAACTTTACAATATTATAATTTTATTAAATATAATTACATTTTTTTCTTTTAATACTTTGCAGTGCTTAGCAAAGAAGATCCAGCGTTGCAACTTCTCACTTTGAAAAACCACCTAAAAGATGAAACAGATAGGCTAATGAATCACTATGAAAGACATAAAAAAGGTTGTACATAAATGTAATATAACAGATTTAATGACAACTTTTAACTACCTAGTACTAACTTGATAAAATGTATTCTTGATAGAATTTGAACTACCCAAGAAAAAGATAAAGTGGAAGAAATGTAAGGCAAATGTACCTAAATATATCGCAGACATAGCCGAATTGCTTGACATGGATCCGGATCCTTATTTTGAAGGAGTATGTTTAACAAATTGTACCCATTGTTGCAAAATTTGAAAGAAATAAATTGTACATTATGTAACAACAGAATATTATTAATAAAACATCTTTTTAGACTTACAACTGGTACTATACAGGTGGATGTTTAAACTATGTTCAGCTAAATGGTTGGGATGTCCTATTATTTCCATTTATGGGAGACTTAGGTATTCTAGTATAAAATGTGTGTGTGTGTGTGCGTGTACGTGCGTGCGCGCGTGCGTGTGTGTGTGTTCATGGATATATTAATTTGTGCAGTGTTTATTTTAGTCTTCCTCTTGAAATATTTTCAGTTGCTGCACATATTATACCTATGGAAGATTTTATATGGAAGCCTTTGCTACAAAATTCAGCTAAATATAAATTACATGGATCGTTGTATGAAATTAGACAATGCAAGCTTACTGATACATGTATGTGTATTTATAATCTTAAAATTAAAAAAATATAAAATCATGATACATCTAAAAGTTTGTTACATTAGTAATTGTCTTCATTTTTAGGTAGAATTTTAGGAAGGCGTAAAGACCAATGTACTCTCTATACACTGTCCAATTCTGAGAATCATTTGCTGCTTAATGAAGTTCACAAGCAAGCGTCAAAAGTGCCATATGTCAGTGCTGATTTGAGTTTGACTAATATTAATTATCATTGTACGTTAAATGCAAAAAAAAAATTGTCCTTATGGGATATAAATAGACCGTTAGTATTTCTTTATATTCTTTATGCATCTTTTTTGTTCTTTTAATGTTGATATATGTATACCTTTCTTTCAGGAATTATATTAGTAGTGGTTCTGTATTACAAAAAAATACAACACATGATGCTTGGGGGTGTATAAGATTCCAAGAGACTGATCCAAACGTTTTGATTTACGTAGACAGATGTTGCTTGCATTATCTTGATACTAGGGTAAGAAACTGACAAGCTTTAAATCTGTATATTTATTTTCTTACATAAATTATAAATTTCACAAATTATCATTTCCTAGATTACTTATTTAATAATAAGAATATATTTATTTATTATACCTTAATAAAGTATCACTATTTTATTGGGCTTTTTACAGACTGCTCTTGATCAAGCATGTCTCACGTTGTGTCCGAAATCTAATTTAGAAAACTGCGAGAGTTTGTCGATAGAAGTACCGAGTAAATACAATTGTTATCGTTATTTAGGCACTTATCATTCCTTTTTGATGTGCGATAATCGTTCTCCAAAGCAGTGCGTACGACAAAAATGGACGCACCAGTTCAAGGATACTCCGCTATTGGCAGCTGTAACTAACAAGTTAATAATGTTAAATAATAATTCTAATTACAATAAAAAATTAATTGCTATTATAATATCTACTATACCGCAATCTTATTACAGTGATGACAAGGAAATCATTATTCTGTCAACTCAAAAAGCTGGCGAGAATACAATAATTTTGAACACATGGATGGATGAGGAGAAGTCTCATTCATTTAGTTTACCTTTCACACCTCCACACATTGCAGAAACGTTAAATGAATCTCAAATACAAGGAATGTGCTTAAATCCGTATTTACAAAGCAGATTTGAATTATGTAATGTTGGTAGCGCATTAGTCACAAATGTAAAAAAAGGAGGAGTGTCCTTCTTCGTACAAAATTCTATTGGTATAGTTATTATATCTCATTCTATCATAGTATTACTGTATTATTATAATATCTTGGAACATCATGCCCAACATATTTTTTCTTGTTTTTATATATAGGTGATATATTTTATCAATGCATAACACACGAAGACATATTGGATAAATATTCTCCCATAAACAATAAAGCATGTTATGCATTGGATATGTGGGAAAAAGCTTTATCAGCCCAAAATGAACCACTAGTACCTTTATCTCTTACTGACAAGTGCAGTATGCAATATATATATAAAAGTAAATTATTTTAATTTTTATTTAAATATATTTTGAATGATTAAGGCCGGATTCCACCAATATAGTTTAATTTTAATTTCGATTCAACTAACTTAATTTTTTTATACTTCTAAGAATTAAAAAAAGATGAATAAATTGAATTGAGATGAAAATTAATCTGTATTGATAGAAACGGGCATAATTTTAATAAGCTAAACCGAGATTAAAGTTGATCTTACATTAATGGACCTAACCGGGCCTAAGTAACGCAAATCATGAAAATAATTTTACAGATTTTAAGAATCACAAACTCAGTCATCGTTTACAATCCAATAATGAAAATGCAGACAATAGTTCTGAGCCAACCTGGAAACAATCGTTAGCAGGGTTGGGATCATATGTGGATCTATTAGCACCAGGACTTCTTGCTGTTTGGGACGTATGCGAAACAGTACCTGCACCAGGAACGGAATCAAATCAAAAAGTTTTGAACTGGTTGGGATCCTCAACTTCGAATCATCTTGCCACGCAATCACAAGATGTATCTTACCACATTCCTACTCCTGTCAATACTCCAGAATTAATTGATTTGTCGCAAGAGCACGATCTTATGGACATTGACGATAGCAGTATACTGCAAGAAATGTTCTTGCCAAAAGTTATATCACAAACTAGCAAGATAAAGCATGTTTAAATAATTTACATAAATAAAAATTAATAGAAATATAGAAATAGTTAATTTTTTTGTATGTAATATATATATCGAAGTTATATATTACTAACGATAAAGTTATGTATAAATAAATAAAATTATTTTTATAATAATTATTTATTGTATTATAACAAAAATTAAACGATAATCATGCACAATGTCTGTCATGCGACGAAATGACTGAATATGTTGTGTTTTTAAATGATATACACATATTTAAAATTTTAACGTGATTTATTTTGACTAGCGATTCCGTAGGAAAGATGGTTTCCATCTCGAAATAAGTACTTTGCTGTTGTCTTGTTGCTTGTTTTGTTCTTCCTCCATTTGTGTCTGTCAATAATTCAAATATTCGATTATATATATTTTTTCTATATTTTATGATAAAGTTAATCTTACGTTAATGAAATCGGGCCTAACAAGCAACATATGAAAATAATTTTACAGATTTTACTTACCAAAAATTTTCGTCGATTTTCTTTAAACATTTCCAATGGATTGTCAAATTGTCTGTAATAATTTAGTACATCTCGCACGTCTTGTACATCTGATGTTAATATCGCTATGAAATAAAGATAAATTTTTATTATTCAATGGAGATTAAAAATAATATTGATATTTATTATAACTGAAAAATTTATGCTAAGAATGATAATTTCTATATACTACAGAAAATAGCAGAAATATATATATATATATATATAATGCTATATAAAATTATTTTCAAAACAAATAATTTTAAGATTAATCTTACTTTTCAGGAATGCCGCCAAGTCATACAACGTAGTATCATCATCATTGCCCGTCCATCGAGGAAGTTTAAATGCATTTTCTGGATTTAACTTCACGCTATTTTCATTCCAATCGATAACAATAACCTGTAATCGTTACATATAGTAATAACTCTAAAAAGTTTTCACAAATGTAATAATAAATGTGTTAATAGTTACTTTACTAAGATCACGATTGAGAGCTCCTAGATCTTTAACGTGATGTCCATCCACAAAACGTGTTGCATCTCTCACTAATCTATACATGATATATCCATTCGGATCAAGAGCATCCAAAATAGGGAACACTGTCTGTAAATGAAATAGATATAATTTTTTCTTATATAAATAATTCTTTTCTGCTAAAATATATTTGAAATAAAACAAAAAAGTTAAAGACAGTTGTACCATTCCTTGTTCAGCTGTATAAATCACAATCTCAAATTGTGGTGGAGCAACTGCTTCTAAAAATTGGTCAACTCCAGGTCGTTTTTTAAATCTCCATCCAGTTTGATACTACAAATAAAACATCGTACTCATATAATATCAAGTACAAAATTAACACGTTTATTATTAGTTTTATTTAATATAATGCATGTTTTTATGTACACGTATTTTATTATGCACATACAAAATATATTAGAAAGGCGAACTAAATATTTTAAATATTGATTCTGTATTTAAAATCCTGTATTTTTCTAAACTTTATAGTTTATATTTGAAATAATAATTCAAGTTACACATATAAATGACACAGCTCTTTTATGAAAAAGTAATGCACCACTCACATGTGATACGTTATAGCAAATATATTGAATTATATTGAAACTTAACAGATTAGATACTTACTGTCCAATCTGGATGTACGAGAAGGTCTGTCATTTCCAAAACTAGAGTATATGGTGGCTGAATATATGGACGTTTCAATGGATCAGGTAACAACTTGTCCCTACTAGGTTCTTGTACTAGCTATAAACATAATAAAAATCGTAAGATATCTCTTACAGAGAGTAGTAAGATATCTCCTTAACAAATAAATATAATTTCACATGCTAAAATGTATTTCTGAACTTAGAATTAGAAAATATACTGTGCATGAAAAAAGTTCATACAAACTATAAACAAAAGACTACAGACTTATCTTAACCTTTTCATATATTACTTTATTATACTTTAGCTTCATATAATAAAGTAATATATATATTACAAATATAAATATAATTAATCATAAAAGCCTCGTACTCTTGTATAATAATTGAGTTCTCTCTTGACCCTCTTGTAGATCTGTTCAAAGAATGGTAAATTGGAAAATTCATCCTCAATAACATTCCCATGTTTGTCATAGTTAGGTCTTCCTAGTTCGTATACTAAATAAGTGAAGCCAATACCCATGAACACACCAAACGCTGCAAACCCATAGTTCATCATTCTTTTCGATCTTTCACGATTCGCTTTTTCTTCCTCGTCTTCCTTATGTTGTTCACTCTGTTTCTTGTGAACTGTCGCTTCCTGTACCAACGATTCGGCTTCATTTATCGACGACTGTATGTTAGTTAGGTTACTAGTGATTTTTGGGCGATCTGTTGCTGCAAATACAAAATTTTGCTTATAAAATAAAAACACATCTAAAATCTACTTTCATACATATATTTATAAATTTCTTCAGGTCAAAGCAAGGGCATAATATTTTTTAAAATTATACATACAATATGCACATGTATCACACCCGAGATATAAGAAAAATAAAAACTGACAGTTCCATCTGTCAACGTTAATTTTTATTAAACATTGACATTATATATTTCTGTTATAAACGGCGTGTGCGATTTGCTATTAAAATAATTGTAGTTGTAAGAGGGTGCCACGCTTTCAAGAAAGAGGTTATGGCCATGCTTACTTTCGGTATTGTAACGATATTTTTGCGTCGATTGAATGAGCGATATTCGGCCAACGGGCGGTCGGAGAGTACAGTATGTCGTTCCCGCGTTGGCATTGTATATTTTACATAAAACTCGCAGACTCCGCATCGTAAAGGCCATAATTTGAGGATACCATGAGCTTTCCGCTTTCCGGTGCGAATTATTACACTGGTGCACGTACTCCTGTTCTTTGGTCTGTTTTCTGTTCCTGCACTAGACTATTCTAGAACTCTTTTTCTCGCTTTAAACAAATATCAAACGTATATCTATCTCTTTAAGTTCCAAAAGTGTACACTAGTTCAGTCACAGAAAACAGACCTCTTGTATCTTCCGGTCGGCGAGACTTCACACGCGGCCGGTAAATCTGAGCGTCCATCTTCCCGATCGAGGATAAACGCCGAGAGTAGGACTTGTGAGAGGAAAATGTATACATTTATAGATACACATATATATGTATCTACAAATGTATACATACATTGTACCTCGGCAAACTAGCTGAATGAACGTTACTTGTCGTCTTTTTACGTCATTATGACGTCAAAATAACGATAAATAACATCAGCTGGGACGGTTACAAACAACATTTTTAATTGTGAGGGAAGAAACGAAACCGAAGAGTTCGAAAAATTTCGTAATTCACGATTTCATTCTGCCGCACATGATTAAGCTATATGATTGAACAAAACGGCCAAGAAATTTTTGGATTGCATCCTATTTTTATTGATACGTTAATGATCTCTATATATTAATTATGAATTGTTAATATTTATATGAAGCAATAGTTAATAAGAATATTGAAGAGAGACTGCAGAAGAATACAAATATTGAAAAGAGCTTGAAGAGATACTTATCAGTTTCTCGCTCCTACATTTGATTTGAATCGATCATGTTTTCGCGGGGCGGTGTTTTGTCGAAGGTCACGTGATGATGCGATCGCAAATGCGCGCGTTAGACGCCATCTTCTTTTTTCAAACGATTTCAGTTTGCACCGGTTATTTTCCGTGACGGACCGGTCCGTTGCGATGTCGCGATTTCGTGTGAAAAGAACTTCTCAGAAAAACGGTAATCGGAAACAGGTAGAAGTCTAGAAGTATGTAAGGTACAATTCAACGATATGCTGCGAAATTTTGTCCATTTCGCTAACGTTGAACATTATATTTACGTAAATCGACGATATGTACCTGATTCAAGGTATTTGGTAATGGCCGAAGTACTTTCACTTGATCGAAATTTTATATTGCGCTCTAATTCTTGGTGTGGATTAATCAATTCAGAGCGGTGCCAAAAAGTTTACAAGTTATCGCCATATCGTGATCCTTGCCGTTCACTTCGTCAGGGCGAGGAACGTCCTGATAACAGTATCGGTGTCCTTCTCGCTTCGATAAAGTGAATGATAAGGATCATGAAACAACATTAGCAATGGATCGCATTATGGCGATAACCCTTTGATATCTCTGAAGAAAACGCCCGTGAAAGCCCTCAAAAGAATTAATCAATTATTCTGTTCTTCCAAAATTACACATTTATTTTATATTACAGAAGGAAACTAAGCCTACTAGTGAAACCTAGAATTTAAAAGAGGAAAAGAAAGAGGAAAAAAGAGAGGAGATGGAAATTTCCACCGTGTTCACACAGACTCACACAGACTATCTTTCAGTAGTTCAGCCATTCGTTATGTCCAACCGTCGCTGTAAGTAGTACTACATGTCTATCAAGTGTGAATCTATATTGAAAGAATCTGTTAATATGGCATAATAATATTTTTATTAAATCTTATGAAATTGAGAATGCGAAATCAGTAACGAGTATAATAATACTGACTAAAAGTAGGGGAAATAGCAATATTAATTTACTTGCGAAATACTAGCAAGAGTGAAATATAACATAACAATGTAATATAATGGTAAAATAATGATATAAAATTGATATTTTTTAAATACATGAACTGGGATGTCATAAAAAAAATAATATTTATATCTTTATTGTATGCATATAGATGTATGTATACCTACTTAGGGCTATTTTCGCCATCGTCGGTTAACTTAACCAGCCTATTCTATCTCTTTCTATTTCATTACAGTTATTAGGCTGGTTAAGTTAACTGAGCTTGGTGAAAGTGGCCCTTACATACATGAGTCAGGATCTCTTTCACTAATCTCGATTAAATTAACAGACGATTATATGGGGCTCATTTAGACTCAGTTTCACAACTCGTGGTTAACTTTTAACCGAGGTTTAATTTATTTTAAGTTAAATCTCGGTTAAAAGTTAACCATGAGTTGTGAGACTGGACCTAAATGAGCCCCATGTAATCGTCG